AAGATGTCCCGGATAAAGTTAAGATTAAAAACAACCGGTTTCCGTGCACCAAAATCATCGAAGTCTATCCCACAGTGTATGAACAGAGCGACGCGGAAGCGCAAATCTTCCAACCGAGTCCTGATCGGCTCTACAGACCCTTCCTCACTCCAGCCATGTTTCTTCCACCATCAGTTGTGACATCTGGAAGCTGAATTCATCGTAGTTCTCACTCTTGCAAAATTTTGTGCAGTTCTGCCAAAATGTCCTTTCTAGTCGTCGCTCCATACATGCTGCTAATCGATGCCAACAATTCTGTTATCTGAAGTTCCGAATTAACATCGTGAATGAACACGCGAAGTTATGCAGTACTCGAGACATCATATTAGACTCATACAGCACCAGGTAATACAGCAAAACGTTTCTGCTTTCTCGGATATCTACAGTACTCTGTTCTATCCAAGTTCTTTTGTTCACCACACAACTGAATTTCTCAAAAGACTGATACCTGCAAAACAAATCAGCTTTCTCAGGACACAAATCATTCACAGCTTCCAGGATACACCCTTTGACTGAGCTGCCATCCGTACGCGCTTTTTCTCCTTCTGCCGTCTTATGCATCGCTGTGTAAATAGTACGAGTGAGAGGTTCATTTTTAGAGAACTGTCTCGTGAAGAAAATCATTGCGTTGATAAACTAAGTTTTCTGGACTTATATTCCCTCTAGCGTTGCTTTCCCGAAAACTAAAGATGCTGATAGGTGTTCTGTTTCATATGGACGTCTGCGATGGCACTCTTTCAAAACGGAAACACTTGTCGCATACAAAGCAATTGGTATTCCCCTGTTCATAGTTTCAGCGAAGTGTTTTACTCCTCATTCTCTGTTAAAAACACGACACTCAGCGCCCACTTTCCGCTTCTTAGTAGCCCTAAGGAGCGGTTCAGTAAACGGGAGCCGAAAATGAGTAAGGTATTGAATTGGAAACATACTTCACCTCTTGCTAGAACACCAGAAAAGCAAAAACTAAAGGGCTCTGGTTAAGCTACGGATCGACAGAAGTGCATGTGCATCTTATGTCGTGCAGTTTATAGGTAAATTTGGTAAAATATCACATATGGGGCGTTGCGAAATATGTGCATAAGGCCGGCCTAAATAAGCAGCTTGCAGCAGCGGTTTTTAACTGCGGCTGTGCAGCCAGACGTGCCGCCGAGACAGACCGAAATCGCCTAAATCTAACGCTTTCGTCCCTTTGGTTTATCACTGTCACTCTGCATCTTTCGCCATCTCCACCGTTAACGGATATGTGATCTGTCTTGCGACATCTCTACCATGTTTCATGTCTTATGAACACCATGGGCTCGAAAACTCTGCCATGAGGCCGTGACATACTCAACACAACAAGTGGTGTTCGTACAAGTTAGTGCGTCACGATGAGACAAGTGCATCCCTAAACAAGCTACGGCACAGTGAGCCTAACAACGAGGCGACTGCACGGATAACAAGCAGGCTAAAATTCAGGCACACTAAACCTGGCGTTCAGTATAATGGAGTGCCAAACGCTTCCGAGTTTACCGTGCGAAGTGCGGAAGCTCAAGAACTCCATTCAACATGAAGCAATCTGTGTGACAGATGGTTCAGGTATACCAACTTGGCTGCAAATTTGAAGATGTTTTTTACGGATTAACCCGGTAATTTTGTTTATAGGTGCCCACTTAGTCCATTAGTCTGATCCTAAACAGTTCCAACATTTGAGTGTGATTGCAGATTTTCCTAGGGACGTGTTTAAAGGTGATCACACTCAATCCTGGAATAGTTGAGTAAAGTCAAGCATGTATTTCGGTCGTTGTAACTGGCGCTCCCGTGACATCACTCAGCCACGTGAATTTTGGTCGGTTTGCTCTTTGTTACTGGTTTGAGGTGAACGTGATCAAAAGATGTTTCATTTCTTCTGAACACCATGGGCTCGAAAACGCTGCCATGCGGCCGTGACCTACTCACCACCAAAAGTGGTGTTCTTACTGGTTACTACGGCATGACAAGACTTGTTTATGTCGCTTGAATTAGCGACAGAGACAGCTGCATGAAAACCGCAGTTCATATCTGTGTGAACGGTCCCTGTGCGTAGAAAACACGCTGAATATAGGTCAAGTTGTCGAAAATAGAATGCGACATGTAGGAGCCAAATATGGCTGGGTGCTGCGATGTTTTCGCATAAACGCATTCTGAATGAGGTCATGAAACGAAATGATGAAACGTGCATCTGTACGAAGACCGTAAACACAGACATAGGATAGGCGTGCGAGAAATGCACAATTTTGAGTACCGTTAGCGGACCGGATGAATTAACTTCGCATGTCGCATCCGGTTCGTGGGCCATAGTTTGGTGAATTTTGGCCAAACTCATCGAAGCCTCCTTCATAAGTTTCGGAACTCCGGTATGGGCGACCTAATCCCGCCTGGGCTAAATAATTTTCCAAACGAACGTCGGTTGGAGGTGAGAGTCCGGGAATGTTCCTCCGACGCAATTGAGGTGGAGTGCGGTGTACAATAAGGCTGGTATTCACAAACGATCTAGCGTGATCAATTGCCTCCGATTTCCTCTTTACCGCAGAGGATATCAAGATACGGCGAACGATCAGAGGACCGAGCGACCACGAAGGGCTCCAGCGCGATCTCAACACGATTTCGAACTGGCCGGTTGAGAATGCCCTACTATTCAGTGTGGACAAATGTCGCGTCATTCAACTACGCCATGGACATGACTAGACGTATTTGCTTGGAGCACACGGTGTGTAGACCAGCTCCCAGGAACGTGACTTTAGTGTGCTCCTACGGAGTGATCACGACTGTTCAAAGGAATCTGAGATAGCTGCAAAAATGTCAACTAGCACGTCCGCTTGCCGTGAACGTCATTCGGGAGATTTGACCCATCAATCTTCCGAATGCCGATCAATTCCTACGGGCTCCCTTGTTGTTGAATATGCCACCCAACCTTGGCGACCTCGGTTCAAGCACGACCTCGAGGGCCTAGTGTCAGCAGGGCAACACAAGTGTCAGCGGCCTACTCGACCACCCCTATAAGCGAAAGCTGAAGTTGCTGGGATTGTTCAGCGGACGCTACGGAATGTTGCGTGGCGATTTCCTCTTAGTGTACCAAATATTGTGTGACCCCCATCACGTATGCTGCCAGTTGCTTAACCATAATATCAAGCTCAGATGTAACCGCTTGAAATTGGGTGAACAGTATAGCCGTGTAGAGTGCTGACGGAATTACTTTTCCTTTTGCGTTTGCCAACACTAGAACTCTGTCCCAAATTCAGTTCAAATCACCCGTATTGTGGACCTTTTCCAAAAAAACGATTGAATGTTGCTCTTAGATCCCAGCACTTCGTTACTTAAACTACTCTATTGTGGATAGCATTAAGCATGCCCTTCTACAGGATTTATGCGTCACATGGACCCAAGCTGGGGGCACATGTGTGAGCGATTATATTTCACTCTTCTCACGCCTTACGACAGCGAACATTGCACCCGTGTATTTCTGTACGCTTGTCTGTCATTCTTGTTTTATCCCACCGTTATTTATCCACGAATGACACTCGGTAGACGCTCAGTGGATGGCACATGTAGCCTTTGAGTTTATAATATTTATTCCAACCTTCCTACGCTTGTTGTCCAGCATTTGCTTGTATACCCGTTATAAACCACTGCTCCATATGAAAGCTCGGTACCCGTGCACTGCTAAGTTGCGCTTAACGCTATAGACGTATGACTCTTGCGGTCACTAGTAAATCGTTTATTTGCAAACTTTTATAATTTGTCAAACCCATGAATTCTTAAACTATAGGCAAGTAAATGTACCATACTTTAGTATGAACTAGAAGAGACGAGCCATATTGTTCCGTGCCCATTACTAAATACAACTTCATTTTGTTGTTAAATGAGTATGTATTAAAAATGATGGTGGCAATAGTTGATTGCACTCGACCTAGAGAACAGGGGTCACGGTGAGACGGAGGAAATATCGAATACGCCACCCATCGCCTTGCTTGTCGTTTTCTTATAGCACAGCATAGAAAGCAGTTTGACAAATTTTTAAGGACGGCGACATGTTATTACTCACTTCTTTGTGTCAAAGCCAATGCACTCGTTCTCAGAAGCAAGAAAAGTGCAGTTCTTTGGAGTGTTGCTAAAAAGGGGACTGCAATTAGTTTGCTAGCTGTGACGCCAGTGCTAACCAACATTATTTGTTATTAACCCATTCACATGGTGACCACCGTATCCGTAACTTGCGCACTTGAGCTGAATTATAGTCCAACGGACCCCGTCTAACAATATGAGCCTACGTCAGCATAATCAAACCGCAGTCCTTTCTTCGTATGGAGTGACCATTGATCGTATGGCATCGAACACCATTTACAGTGAGAAATGCTGTTATATACATAACAACTCGTGTGACCTACTTAGGGTTTACTAAGCTTCACCAAGTAGAAAATTTTCAACCATACCCAACGCGTCTCTTGTAGGATATGATTCGAATGTTAGTCGATGACATTGTTGCGCAACAGAAGTGCCAGATTAGGATTGATGGAGAGGAGTGAGACAGCTGGACAGAACTTGTTATGTGAAGGCTACATGCAATGCGCAGCGAATCAGCAAGAACCGTGGTAAGCGTAGTGTACAACTCACCGGGCGGAAACAAGTGAAGCGTTGTATACGCAGCAACGCAAATGGAGAAGCCACAAAGAGTAGTAAAATAGAATATTGCAAAATACTGATAGAGTTAATGTTCCAGACACACAACACTCTGTGGGCGAGCTTCATTCTTCACAATGCATGGTATACTGAAAAGGATATAGGCTTGGGACATCGTCGGCAGTTGGTCTGCTCCCGCATGTTATTGACAATGAATGAGAGTCAGTTTTCCCAGTAATCAGCCCAGATCCATCTAGAGTGTCTGTGGATTTTCAGGGATGGCTATAAACTTGGATTTGTGAAAACATGGAGGTAATATTTTGAACATGCTCCTCTGGTCAGTACATGTTCTTCAGTTAATCTTCGACGTTATAGTTCCAGTGGACTTCGAAACGTGCAAATATAGAACTTATCCATGGGCCACACACTTTTGTGCACGTAGCCAACGCTTCGAAACGTCAGTCGGGTCACGTGACAGCGATAGACGGACATAAGGATTTAAATTAGTCCGACTAATAATACCGTACAACCTTGTGGTAAGTTGCGAGTTTACTCCTTGCAGTTTGATCGTCATTAAAACTTTAGTCTTCCCGCTGTGCCTAATTTTTTACAAATAATAATCTAAGTGCTTGATGTATTCTAGAGATTTAATGCTTGGTTAGGCAGAAGCAATCTTCAATCTACCGTTTGAAAAGAGGATCATCTCGGTTTTTAAACTACTTGTGGTTAAACAAGGAAATGGCTCGTAGCTTTTCAGCTATTAAGAGTGAGACTAATTTTTCTTAGTCTTTGCTGATTAATGTTCTGTCAAATTTGCCATTTCTGCACTCCCAAAGTACCACACCTCAGTGGATCTCTGCTCGTTCTCTGGAGCTGTTCGAACGCCACAAAGATATCCCCGCGGAATCAGATTGCAACGAGCGGCGCCGTTCTATCAACCGGCTGCTCAAGCAATGCATACGCAAGGATCGCGAGATGTGGTGGTCTGAGCGTGCTTTAGAGATGGAGACTGCTGCTCTCTCTGGCAACATTCGCAGGCTTTTCCAACTCATTCGGTCCACTGGCCTCAGGAAGTCTGGTGTCATTGCGGTCATTTGTGAGGTGGATGAGTCTCCGATCACCAACTAACAGAGCCGTATGGACCGCTGGGTCGAGCACTTTCACTCGCAGTGCAAATAGCCTCCACCATCCATCAGTACATGCAGTACACCTTGTTGTATACCCTGGCACGTCCCATTGAATCCACCCAGCGAAGCAGAAGTCTGCCTCGAGATTCGACGCTTGAAGCGCTTCAAAGCTTCCGGCTTTGGCGGACTTCCTCAGGAGCTATTCAAGTATGGCGGTGTGGCGATCATTAACCAGCTAACCGCGCTGTTCGCAAATTTTGGCATGGAGAAAGTGCCTTCCTCTTGGGGCGAATCAATTATTGTCCCAATTTTCAAGAAAGGCGCTCACACTTCATGTGCAAATCATCGCGGGATTAGTCTTATTTCGGTTGCCTCTAAGCTGTTGGCATCCATTCTACTTCGTAGACTATCCCCAATACGTGAATCGTACTACGTTGAAGAACAAGCTTGTCTCCGTCCTGGCCGCGGATGCGTGGATCAAATCTTCACGCTCCGCCAACTCCTTGAACATCGTCACATTTATCACAGACCCACTATCGTTGCATTTCTAGACATACGTGCCGCTTTGACTCCATTGCTCAACCTGTTTTATGGCGTTGTTTACTAAAGAACGGGGTGCCAGAGAAATATATCGTCATCTTACGAGCACTTTACCTTCATGCATCCGGCAGAGTGAGGGTCTATGGCAAGCTTTCCTCGCAATTCGCTGTCAATAGCGGTGTGCGACAGGGTTGCCCTATGTCCGCATTCCTCTTCAACTTTGCAAGCGAAGACGTTCTGTCGAATGCCCTAGAAGGTTTCCAACATTTTGGCCCAGAGCTTCTACCGGGTGAACGCGCGACCGACTTAGATTATGCTGATGATATCGCCTTCCTTGGTGACGATCCTCAGGGTATGCAACTCATTCTGGATCGTTTAGCGGTTGAAGCATCTAAGTATGGCATGAACTTCGCCCCATCGAAGGGTAAAGTACTGCCAAAGGATTGGCTTTCACTTGCTCCCGTGCTCAATCTCCAAGGTGCACAACTTGAACAGGTAGATAGTTTCGTCTACGTTAGGAGCTGTGTTTCCGCTGACGGCACTATCAACAAAGAAGTTGCACCTCGTATCGCTAAAGCTCAATCAGCATTTGTCAATCTGAGACACTTGTGGCGTCGTCGCGACGTCTCATTCTCACTAAAGGGCCGAGTTTACAGCGTGTCAGTTTGCTCAGTATTGTTGTAAGGGAGCGACTACTGGCCGATTCGCGTGGAAGATATGCGTCGTCTTTCTGCGTTCGATAACAGTTGCTTAAGGAGGATCGCTCGTGTTCGGTGACAACATCGAGTTACCAGTAACGACCTTTGAGTTCGCGTCTTGGGGAATGCAATTATTTCCTTCAACAAACTGGTTTTGTTGCGCCAGTTAAGATGGCTCGGTCATGTCTTACGCATGACACCTGAGCGTCTACCGCGTCGCGCTGTATTCGCTCGTCAAGGACCTGTCTGGAAGCGACCGCGTGATGGTCAGCGTTCCACTTGGCGGCAGCACATGAAATCGCTGACGTCGTGTCTAGCCGCTGTTGGACCCGTACGTCTTCCAGGATGGGGACCCAAAGATGAGGAGTGCCAATGGCTTAGGACTCTTGAAGACATGGCCCGCAACCGGAATCAGTGGAAGCATTGTGTACTGTGTTGTATTGATTCATTTGTTTAACACTACAAACATTGAAAATGACAAAAAAAGAGAAAAACGGCGTGTGACAAACAAACTAAAAATGTTTCGTTCTGTATTTTTGTCAAATGTTCCATTTTCTTGCGGCATATTAGCTGAAGTGTGTTGCCCGCCTTCAACTAGCATGCCACGATGATTATGACGCAATGTCTGTCTCTTATCCACTGATTTCCATGGCTTTGTTGGCTATATGTCTAGTTACTAGACTGTTGGGATTACATACATGCATACATCCGTTTGGCAAACTCGGTGATGTGCTTTGAGCAGTAAAATGATTTACGAATGTTGAACATATTCCAAATACCGCAGAAGCAAGCAAGCAAATTCTCTGCATTTTGGAATCGGAAAGTTGCAAAAATACAGCGACTACATAAACATGGTAACAAGTGTGCGCCGGTACACCATTCCCACGCTACTCTGCCTCTTAACCACCAACATTTGTAGGTGGACTGCAGATACCACAAGGCTAGCCCTCGGATTACAAGGCAAACTTGTGATGTTTTAGGCTACGGACCGGCTTGCAAGGAGTATGCGGCGTATAGAACCACGCAGCTAATGAACTTACTACAATTGTTGCATTCTACTCATATGCTCAGCTATAATAAATAATAATATGTCCATTGTATGCCGTAATGGCACTTCCCTGCCACGCGACCATCACCAGTCGCGGGTGCGCGCGAGGAAGCCCGCCTCTACGCGGATTCGAACAAATAACCCTATGATTGCAAACCAGACACGCAAACCACACGGCCACCGGCTGATGTGAGGAATCCCAAACCCTGCACAGGAGCACAGCTGAGAGGTAACGATATTTGACTGAACCTAGCCTTGCTTTTATGGCTTTTTGGTTGTCCATTCGGTTCCGCATCGGTCTCAGCTTGTTACAGGTTGGTGCACCGTAGATGCCAACTCGGTAATAACCGGCATCCCTCGGTAACGCATCGCACTTCAGTTAAGTGTATGTGCGAGGCAATAAAAGCTATTTAAACTATTCCCTGCAGGGGAAATGCTGTTGGTCAGCTGAACTTAATTGGAGCGTAGGTTCCGTGCTTATCCGGGGCAAATGTGTTTGCCTTGGGGCCCCATGGAGTGTCGCTCGAGCACCAGCAACACTATGGTATCATTGACGGGGAGTATGCACTGAACTTTGGTTAGAAACCGGTGGCACCAGTAAACTTTTCTCGATATATTATAAGCAGCCTATGATTTATGTGCTCAGACTGTTCAAGCCTTAACCGACTGCAAGCACTCCGATCTTTCGTTGGCGACCGTTCATTTCTTATTTCATTTTCTCGGTATATATTCCTTTGCAAGGTTTCTAACCTTTCATCCAACATATGAAATAAATTGGATCGCTGAATTGTGACGGCAGCATATAACTTATTTAGAATGCAGCCACCAGCTAAATAGTGAGGGCAGTTGTCCGACTAAGTTCCGAATTCGTGAATAGCCGGATTTTAGTTATAATTTTTTAAAGGTTTTAATCCCTGTAGTTCGCAACCTACATAGCACAGCCTAGTCCGGAAAAGCACCAGAAGCGTTTCAAATTGTAAAATAACTATCTGCCTCTCACAGTGTTAGTATACAGTGAGCCCATGCAGACCAGCCTTATTTCCTTATTAGTTGGATTTCTCGACCAAATTGTGCGGTGGGATCGCTATAATAGGTGGCTATTACAATTATCGAGATACGTGGCAGTACTGAAAGGAATCTTCAGGTTGGTCCAACAATTTCATGCGTTCTCAAAATAAGTATTTGATATCGCGGAGCACTGATAATTGCTATCTGCTCCCTGGCTGTTGCTCTCGAAAAAGTAGAGGAAATATTTACTATTACAGGACGAATGGAATGAAGCGCAAGGTAAGCGAAATGGAAAGCAGTTTATATCTTAATAGTGTGAGATACGGATTGTGGTTGATGTGGTCGAATCTTATAAATGAATGGTTGAAACAGTTTCTGTTCTAGTTGTTACAAGAAAATAGGTTCCGGATTGTTGCTTCACTGCCAGCCGGGGTGTGTAGGAATTTAGATTGACGGATGTTACGAAGCGCTCTGTACCTTTATCCTAATACCTACGGAAAAGAAAAAGCATTGGTTAGATATAGGGAAAACGGTTCTTTCATAACTAAATAGATATTAAGCTGGTCACAGAGCAAAAATACATTCGTCAAAATTCACTAGCTATATCTAGATCTATAGGTTTTGTTTTGCAGGACCCAGTGAGACATTTTCCCGTATGGATGCGCCGTATGCCAGCATGGTTTTTTGAGGCAAACAGTTGCGAGGTGTCAAAGTGTTATATATGGGAGATACAAGATGATGGCGATTGATACTGCATATTAACTATTTTTAGACCGCTTTTGCATGCCATCTCTTCCGTGATATCTTGTTTCCGCAGCTCGATGGTCTTTTTAACAGTTAATGGGTTGCGAATTTCTTTACGAAAGATTTCAGCCGATTTACTTTCTCGCAGCTTGGACCACAGCCTGTTCCATATCTTTAGGTAAAGGTTCGAGTAAAGTTCGCACTTCCCCGACTTCTAGGCCTTTCAACTTTTAGCAAGGTGTAGCTGTCTCGAATACTATGGTTTGACCCATCTTTGAATTTCAAGTCCAGGCTTGGGGCACGAACTCGCTGGTGTATGATATCCAATAAGAGACATAAATGGTTTCATCCATTTGAGCCATCCTGGGTCTAGTTTTAAAGCCTTACAGCGCTGTGCGTAAGAGATTTGATAGAACATTCCCAGCAGACGTTTAGGGAATGCGCTCCGAAACTTATCCAGATTCTTGCGATCACCTTTACTTGTATTACTGTAGATCAATACGCAATAGTCTAAAAGCGGTCGGGTTTTTATCTTATACTGACTGGCAATGGAATCGTGCTTTGTGAAGGTTTTGAATAGTATTCCAATGCTTCAACGACCTTTAGCAACTACATTTGCCTTGTGCTCCCTAAAGTTTAGTGAGCCAGAATATTGAAAACCGAAGACTTTCACTACATGGTTGCACGTTATTAGTTTTCAACCAGAACCAGAGTGTCAGGTGCGATTGTACAACGAAACAGTGGGGCCCTTCACTTGTCGGCTGAGAATGACATATCCCGTTTGGCGCACCATAACTCAAGGGCTTTCCAATCACATATAATGGCGTTCGTGTTATGGTCCGTGTCAGTAACATACAAGGTGTAAACGATTTTCACCTCATCAGCAAACACATATGAGATACCATAACGTATTACGTCAAACCACGTTAATGTACAATAAAAAGAGTAGTGGGCCGACAACGCTGCCCTGAACTACGCCACTCAGCACTGGTCTAAGGCGTGAATTTTAATCATTTATTCTATCTACCTGGGTTCGGTTTGACAGGTATGGCTTGAACCACGATAACAATGGATCGCTGATTCCAACAGATGCGATTTTGTGTATAAGCTTATCGTGAGGTACACGATCATACGCTTTCTGCATGTCTAGGAAGATCACTACTGATGATTTCCCGCAGTCTAAGGAGAGTAAGATTGTTGGGCGTTATTAAGCAGAATACTTGTCTGCAGGAAATCTATCACTTTTGCGGCAAATAGTCACTCCATCATTCAGAAACTGATAAAAACGTGACTGATTGGCTTGTAGTTTCCAACTTCGTGTCTGGGTTCAGTTTTGTGACGTGGTACAACAGTGGCTTCTAGTCACTGTATCGGTACTTTGCCGGCCTTCATTGAAAGACTGAACAGATTGAACAGAAGAAGAGGGATATCTGACCTGGTTTTTGTGCAATTAAAGGAATAGCATAAGGGCCTTCGTATTTAGATGGTTTCATAGCCCCCAGTTGTATTGTTATATCTCAAAGTGAAAATTCTATCGTAGTGAGTTGGTTAGAGGTTACCGTGGGTAAGTTAAGCGAGTAAGCGGCATTGCTGAAAGATGAACAAACTTACCAGGGCCTCGGCAATAGAGATATGGTCATGTACGGCAGAGCCATCGGGAAGCGTACTAAGTTATTTGATTCGCCGTAGGGTTTCGACATTCTAAGATATCAGCCAAATTTGGTTCTTCGTTGTTGTTGCCCTAAAGTGCGTGCATTTACCTCCGTCACCCGCCGCCGTAAGTGGTAAAGTGCATAGTACTTGCATGAGAATTGTTGTTGTGGTAGAACCAGTGAAAAACCGTTCGTCTTTCTGTACATTTTGCGAAGGATTTCCAGTTTTTGATGATTTTAGATGGTAGGCTGTCAGCATGTTTTCGTCGTATAGGGTGTTTACGTTTAAGTGGTGAAACCACGTTAAGACAAGTTCTGATATTGCCATAGAACTCATTTACAACGATTTGTAGGTAAGTAGTTAAGAAAAAACTGTCCCATGTGAACGACCTTATGAATTATGCGAATAACTCCCAATCAGTGAAGGCGTATTCACAGTACCGTGTTACGGGGTTTGTAATTGTTAACGAGGTTTGGTGGCAGTGAACTAAACGTGTTAAATATAGTGGCGGGCTTTTCTGGTAAACGCTGCGTGAAGAAAAGATCAAGAATATGGTCCTCTCCCGTTGGCGACCGTAGGTGCTGAATCTAGCCATGGGAATGGAGGAAGGTAACAAATCTACCGTACTTTGTAGTTGAGGTACGTGTGCCCCAAGGAATATTCGGCGTATTGTAATCGCCACCTATAAGTTTGTGATCCGTAGGATGCTCAGAAGCGTATTGAAATGCATTTAGTACATTGTTTACAGAGACCGCATCAGAGTTTGGTGGGTTGTGGACGCAGCTGATTTACATGAGCAGATATGAGAACTGAGTCTTTCTGACTGCTCAGGTAGAGATCTGTAAGTGGACAAGCATGAATGTCATTTCTGGGGTACATAAGGCATCCGCCACCATGACTAGCGGCTCGGAAGCTGCCGTAGCTGTTGTATTTTGCGATCTTTAGGCAGCAGGCGATGTATTTTTACTTAACTATGTCATTGCCCAATATAACGTACGAGGAGGAAAGTGAGCTGATCATCATAATGGTTTGATCTTTATTCAGGAGTGAGCGGACATTTAGAAGTAGAACGTCAATGCTGTGCTTATTGTGCGTTGCGTTTACTATCTCCCTGAATATGGAGGGCAGGAGGGGGTGGGCTGACCATGTGGTTGTTGCAAGCTTGGGCAGCTTAAATTCTCAAGGCCAAACGTAATAACTGATGGACTATACTCGGCTGATTTAGTGGGAGTGGACATAGTGGCAGCTGCGGAACCCCCGATGACAGGAAAATATGGGTGTTAGAGGTAGTGGAGCGAGGAGTTGTCAAGAGTAAACCCAAATTGCTAGGGAGCTGAACGGCATTTACTTTACTCCGAATCATTAATGGAGAGTTGATGGGTTCTACTGTACTAGTGAATTCGTCAGCATTTACATTTGTAACTAGACATTTAGCTTAGCTATTGTGCATTATTGTGCTTTGAATGCTTTGTTGGTATTCTTGTAGCATGGTTAAGCGGTTCAACGCATAGGGTAGCTGATTCGGTTAATGCTTCAACCGTACTAGATTCGGAGCTATTGCATAGCGGAACAACTTCATCTACGATTACTTCATCCATGATTAGTATGTTTTATTTGGAGTCTGCACTACCCTTGCTGTTATGCAACTCAGGTACAGTATACGTCGTTGTGGTAATGACTGTAGTGCTAGTTGGCGAGCGAGCAAGGCTAGTTTCACACGCACGCTCTCAATCGTCGGACAAACAGACAGTCCGCGTTATCGCAACCAAGTCATTCGTCTGTCTCAGTGGGTTCGATCAGGTGAATGGTGTGCTTGTGTGCTGATCCCATGTGTCTTCTTTCTCTTGATGCAGCTGCGGAATTCAGACACATTTCAGTGACTATGTCTGAACCAGTGTTCTGAAGGTCTTTTGAAGGTGGTAAAAGCTGAGTTCGCCAAACTTCTTTTCCCGGGAGAAAATAAGAATTGCCTAGAGAATCAACTATTTAGCGATTAATCGGTTAGTAACGATTATCGCATCGAGTTCGAATGCTCTGCGAGTGACTACAAATCACCTGACACTTCGGCCAAAGCTATGAGGAACCACTAACCTTGGTAGCTGACCTTCCAATTCTAGAAGTCGAAGGTCAGTAAGAGACCTATAAATACAGCCAAGGTCCGCGGTAGTTGTACAGTGTTTGTTGACGGCGGTTAATACGTTATTTTGTCAAGGTCATTGACGTTCTGCTTTTTCCTTCGGTTGGGCTAGAAGTTTTGTGGAGCAGTAAAGTGTCAATTTCGGAATCGCGTCTAGTGAGAAGATTATAACAAACGGTGACGGAGCAAATCGGAAATGTGATGAATTTTTTGTTGGGCAATTCCAGCAGCTGCTTTTCCAACAGCAATCTCAAATTGAGGCACAAATGCCTGAGTTTGCAAACAACAGGAGCAGCGACGCGGGACACGCAGGCGAGTTCCGCTGATCTTCTCACTAATGCAATCACTGAATTAAATTATGGCGCGCATTCTGGATGCACATTCGCAGCGTAGTTCAAGCACTAGGAAGACAGGTTCCGGACGGACTTCATTCGTCAGGACGACTCCTGCAAAGTGCGATTGTTACTCAGCAAGCTCGGAATAAGTGAACATTCAAGGTTCATACACCACATTCTGCCCAAACAACCGACGAAGTAGTGTCGCAGCTGAAGGAAATTTTTGGTGTGTCAGTATCTTTGTTTAGTATTCGCTATCAATGCTTGAAAATTCTCAAACACGAATCGGACGACTTTGGGGTCATAGCAGACATGATTAACCTTGAGTGTGAGTGTTTAAAACTACGCTCTTTAAAGGACGATCAGTTTAAGTGTCTCATTTTCGTCAGCGCTCTACAATCTCCCTGTGATGCTGAGATCCCCACGCGGCTTTTAGCTAAGCGAGATCAGGATCCTGATCTGAGAATGAAAACCCTCGTAGGCGAAGGCAAACGACTGCTCATTCTACAACACGACACTGCTCTGGTTGAACGAAATGTTCTCATACCACCAGGAATGGCAACCCAAGCAAATCCTTCAAGAGGTCTACGGACAATTCACCCACAGTATGCTGGTCATGTGGCGAATGGCATTTCGCGCGCTTTTGTCCGTTCAAGCGTCATATTTGTCAAACGTGCCATAAGAGTAGGCATAGGGAGGAATTCTGCATTCAGGTCCGGCCGAAGAACGGGAAGGAGTCTGATCGAAAGGGAAATTCTAGGAAGGTTGGCGCAGAGTCTATGTCCATAGTTGTCGCATTTCAAAGTGAGTGTAAATCGAGACGACTATTTATCAGGGTATTGATCAACGGGAACCCAACGAAACTGCGATTTGACACGGCGTCGAACATCACAATTATTTCCATGAACACATGGAATCACATAAAGAGGCGAGAGATGGTTAAGTCTCAGTGTTACACATAATGCATCCGACGGTGTGTTGAACTTAGTGGGTGAACTTACTACCAAGATTGCTTTCAAAGTGTGGAAAAGTCAGGAAGGTGCTACATTTCAG